GGTGAATTTAGTCTGACGCCATGACCAATATTTATCAATTAAGTTTCAGTGAGGGGTAGGAGGGTTTGGAAAAAAACTAAAGGAATTAAGTTTTTTATCCGACATCGATCTTTAGACGTCGTCCCTTACTTGGTAGATCCGGCACACTTATAAAATCCCTTCACGCTAAGTTTCAATGATACAAACCTGTTCTTCATACCATAGACCATGTATGATATCATAAGCACTACCATATACTTAGTACATGTACATGTACCTCTTATTGCCTGGCCTCGCTATGGGAAGTGCGCCCTCACATCAGATACCGTCCCTCAACACGGTGAGGTATGGTGCATCAGGGCAATAATTTCTCGTATCACGCTTGGCCCAGCGCGCCTGGCTTTCATAATTCAAAACAGAACGTGTCATTATAAATTACGTCATGTGTTTGAGGTCATGCCGTGGTAAAATTGTAATTATACCTATAAGGTATATAATAAAACCTTTATGGATTGGATATGGCTTTCGCTATCCTCGGTCGTACGGCTTAACTTCGCAAGCTCTACCGCTTCTGCCACACGACATCGGGCCGAACAAGCCGTAACAAATCTATAAAGAATATAACTAATTTCAAGAATGAATTAATTATATATTGTATAGACGAGAAAGTTATTTTTTTTGGAAATATTGGTTATCATAATGAAATTCTCTGTTACAGTAATAGACATGTTCGAGTTCCGCCGTTATCTTACAAGCCTGCGCGCTCCCTTGCGTAATTAGTTGATTCCGCAGAGTAAACAGTTGATAACCAATCAGAACGCCGGGAACCAGAGAAAACCATCGAGTAAATTCCGCGAACGAGAAATCAATTCCCAACTCTCGCACGGAAACCGACTGATGGCGCTATGACTCAAAACTCGATTATTGTGATCATTGAAGTTGCTCATTGCATATGTAAATTCTACAGACATGCAATATACTGTGAAACATGTTGAAAAAGCGGCATGCAATTTTAGCGAATTGTGGTAAAATGACGTAATAGCGAAATCTTGAATTAGCAAATCAGTTGTCTTGCTAAATTCGCGGAAAATACATGCTCGCGAAAAAGACATGTTTTACAGTATATCGAGTCCCATATCACTCTCCGCATAGAGGGCGTTTTATCCCAGTATGTTTCATACAAACACCTCTGCCACACACGGATTTGCATAAATGTGCACAAATTTCGTCGGTCCTGATTTTCTAAATAATTTAAAATCGTGGCATGGCTCTTGTTATGCAAATCCATGAGTATCAGAGGTAGACCCCCCCCCCGACTGGGGTGTCATTTCACGTTATTTTGTTTAGAAGTGGGTTGTCATTTATAATGGTTTGGTTTAGAAGTGTGTAGCATTTATTTACTTTTTTCACAGGTCCTTATTCAAAGCCAAATACCGGAAAAGGGCGAATAAAATGCATCGCCCGGATGCGCTCACTGTTTGCGAAAGTTGTGAGCTTTTGTTTAGAAGTGGGTATATAAATAGAAAAAAAATGGTTTAGAAGTGAGTATGGTTTACGAGAGGTGGGCTGCACACCCTTACCCACTTAATGTGGAAGTAGCCCCCCCCCCCCCAGGAGACCAACAAAAAAGAAGTCCCGACTTTGCCAGTCTAGCTGTGAGAAAACGCCTTCGAATATATCAAATAATATCAATATCTTCTATTGGGTAGACGCGGGTTGGTTGTTGCCCCTGGATACTGATAAGTAATGCAACATACTAGTAAATATTCTAACACTATGATAAAGACTTTTCGTTTTTGAAATTGTGATTTTTTTTTTTCGTTTTTATGGGGAAAAATACAATATTTTTACAAAGTAAAATCATATTTATTAAAGTTATTGTTCATACATGAGTTGTTAAAAACACTACATAGTTCGTAATGTCATCCAGCTTGTTTCAGTCATAATTCAGACAAAAAAATGCAAAATATACTAAAATATTTATTTTTTTTAGGTGTTCCGTACATTCAGACCTGAACAAGTATTCTGGAACAAGACCCGAAATGCCCAACGCATGTCGTGGATATAACCCAGGTGGCAGTCCAAGTAAGTGTATTGTTATTGTTTGTTAGTTTATCCTCGGGGCGGAGCTACGTCACAAGACGTTCCATGTTGCTAAGACGCGCACCACTGTACCATGTATTTCTATTTGGCTGGTTCCCGCCTCAAATGTCATGGCGTACCTGCCATTCGCAAAGGACGCCGGGAACCAGCGAAGCATGCTGAAATCACACTACGGAGCTCTCTTCGTAATACACCTTTCCTATACACTGCGCCCTCTAGTTACGAAACGCTTCTATGACGTAAATCTAATGCCATTCCAGGCATCAGTGTCGTTTTGATATGTAGTCGTCCATTAACGAGAATTTATAAAAATTATTTTTGAGAGGTTCACTATATTGAGGGGGGCAAGAGGGGTAGCTGGTACGGTTTTACTGGAAATGAAAAGGGCTTTTTACAATTTACAAGGAAAAAACAGACGTTTTTACAGTTTACAGTGAAAATTGAATTTTGCAGTGAATTGTGTCATCTAGTCGTTTTACAGTTTCGAAAATGTAATTTCCCTGGATCATTCTTTACGACTTTTTTATTTGGATGTAAATTCTTGTACATACCAAGACAAAATTACACATTTTTACAGTGTACGAAAAAAAATATTTGATTGATTACGTTGTACGTCAAGCCTGTGATTACAGAATTACGGAATTCATTTTTTCAATTTACGTTGTACGAAAAAAAAAATATTGCAATTACGTTGAACGAAAATAACCCTTGCCCCCCTCAATCTGTAATCACAGTCCCTCTAACGATAGAGGGACTGTATTATAGTACATTTACTCCATACTAAGATTTTCAATTGTTGTGTCGTCAAACCATACTTCGGATAAACATGCTGAATTCACACTACGGAACTCTCTACGTAATACAACCTTTCCTATACACTGCGCCCTCAAGTGACGGAACGCTTCTATGGCGTAAATAGATGACACGAAGGTCATTCCAGTCATAGATATTGTTTTGATATGTAGCCGTCCATTAACGAGGATTTATAAAATTGATTCTTGAGAGGGTTCACTATATTCTAGACGACAAACGACTACACAAACAAGCAAACACATTGTCGATTTTAACGACATTGCCTTCACCAATATACGTCATTTTGCCGCTAGAGGGCGCGATTTATAGAAACGGTTCATCGTGATACAATTCACACTACAGAAAATAAAACCTGGTATATATACCTTTGCAGTAACGCGTTTGATTTTTTTAGGTGTATATGCATTTGCTGCATGTTGTTCTGCTCCTGGTCTCAAATGCAGATCAGTGGGTTCCGATAAATCTGGTTCTAATGTGGGCGACACAACGACATCGACGTGTCCCGAGGGCTACATAATTACTGGATGCAATGTTCGAAGTCCTCTAATGATTACTGATGGCGCTTACATTGTTGGTACGTATCTCCTATCCCATAATGCATCTGATTGCGTCTCCTATCTCTATGACACACACACACACACTATCTCTGTGCCGGTGAAAATAGGTAGATTCGAGAAAACAGCACAAAAACGATTTTGAAGTAATCCTGGACAGCCAAATTTATAAATATCCTCGGGGGCGGAGCTACGTCACAGACGTTCCACGTTGCTATGACGCGCACCACCGTAGATGCATTTCTATGGGCTCTTTTCGCGCTGCTGTGGAACGCCGGTGAAAATTCGAGAAAACAACACAAACTCAACTTTGAAGTAATCCTGAACAACCAAATTTAGATATGTTACACACGTAGGGCTAATCGTGTTATACTGTTCAGGGGAGTCTCAACCACCATCCCAAAGTATCGTTTTCTACGAGTTGTTGGCCTTTGTTTTCACCGCCAGGGTTGCCAAGCGGTGAAAATGCCCGGATGTCCGCCCCCGAGGATTGGACATGCAGGGGTAATCTTGTTACACTATCCCAAAGTACCGTTTTTGACGGACGCCCGTCCGTCCTGACGAACATTTCATAAATAAACCATAAAAGAATTGTGTTCCATTCCCAAGAGATTCAAAACAATGACTCTATGAATACGGTGATCGTGTGGCGCCCTCTCGTGCCAATTCCCCTGCTTCTGCTTTACGCAATGATAAGGAGCGCGTATCGTATTGACGCTATTCTTAGATCACAGCACAAACCATAATATTTAGTATACATGCAAACAATGTTTAGAAGTATAATCGGATTGCCTACAATTCACCAAATGTGCGATATTTCACCAAAAATAGGGGATACGT